AAAGAGTATTTGCACGTTTTCCAATCCGAATCTACTTTTATTTATAGTAAGGTCATTTGCACGATTAATATAACCGAAATTAAGAAAACTAAGAATAAAAAGCATGCGTAAACTACAAATACATAAACAAGTTAAATTTGACTACTTGCCGATATCTCGCACACAAGTTAGCCTCATTATTATTTCTTGGGTTGTCATTTGTCATGGTGACGAGCTCAGTAGTTAAAACTAAATTTTCGTCGGTTAACGTACTTTTCTACTCAGATTCGGCCTGTGTATGGGCTGCCTCTTCAGTATAAAATCGATAATTCTGCTCAAGCTCTTAACTCTTCACTATACACAATATTTTTCGTGAAACTGCATTTAATTTAAAAAATGCCCCAAACTATCAAAGCTAGCAAAATTTTAATAGGAAAATACGAAATGTCTTTGGCGCATTTCGTGAATTTAAAATACAGTTTCACGAAAAATGATGTGGAACTCGATGATGTCTCATTTTGATGAGAATGTTATGTTTTCTGGCTGAGATATAAAATTTTGACTCCTATGAGAACTTGGTTCCTGTAGTTTGTGTGTTCATACAAGCTTTGTACTTGTTGTTCATTATGCATCCGTTACTACGTTTTGTCATTTTGTGTACTATCAGATTTGAATTTAGTCCGATTTAACACTTTTAGGCAAAGTTAGATTCTGGAAAGTGCAGAAAGGATCTAGCCAAACAACCCAGGTGTGGCTGCTCAACATATGGGATTTCTAGAAAATCTTTTATCTTCTAAACTCAGAAAGAAGTCCGAGAAAATAATTAGGGTAAAATATTTTTTGGATTAGAAATATTTACTAACACAACTAATGGAAGAAAACAACACAAAAATCAAGAGTTAAACTCATAATAATTAACCACACCAAACAGACAAAACCATACCGTTATTGTGAGTATGGCAGGGTAGATTATTTTCTTCTAGATTAACTAAGAAATCCTTGGTAAATAGTTCAAACCATGATTTCAACTGTATGTATGTCAATTGTTGGTGAAATGAAGAAATAATTAGCAATGCTTCATCATTACTTTGAATTCTATGGATGCGAAGGTGTTTTAATTTTGGCAATAGATCACGTAGTTGTTGAATAAACTTAAAAGTAATGGGATGAGAAACATCATCATTTCGTGTTATGATAATATTCTCGACCATGTCCAATTTAATTTCTTTGTTGTCAAATAATTCAATTAAATTCTGAACATCCAATTGCATTGATTTTATTGTATTCATTACTCGTTTCATACTCTCTAATAATACATTTGATGGAATTGAAGCATCAAACATTATTTTCTTTACATTAGACCACGTAATGAGATAATCCAAATAAATCACATGTGCTAAAGATAAGCAATTTCTATTTAAATGTAATATATTAACATTTTTATATCGCTGCAGCTGTTGGTAACCGCTTTTATCGTCAGCATTATCAATACTGTTTATTCGAACACATATTTCTCTAACATTTCGGTAATTGTCATGTACATCATTCATATGTTCACTAAGTAGAACAAACAATAATAATGACATCGAACTGCCAATCTTATAGAACAAGCAAACTCTTCTCTATTCAAATTTTTCACTTCTTATTAGATGTTTGAAGTGGTAAAATGAAGTGAACAACTTCCTTACAATTTTCTACTTCATTCATAGATGGACTGACATGATGAAACATTTATTTAAGCTGGATTTCGAATGTAAGACTCTTCATTGACTATATAGCATTGTATATAGTACCTAGCAACTCCTACTTTTCAGAAATAAATATCTTTTATTTATACACTTGAGTGAGGAAAGAGAAATTATTAATCTCAGAGTGAATGTATGCTTTGCTTTGAGATCGAGTTAAGCACACCATTTGAATGTTGTATTTTTCAAGTTTTGATTTATCCTGTTGTTAATCATTACGTTTGTTATGATAAGATGTACATAAAAATATAGTGCATATACCGTCCCCATTGTCCAACAAGCTGTTGCGCCACAAAACGTCAAAACTGTGTCCCATTTATCAAAATATTTAGCCTAAACACTAGAATAAACCAGGCCCATTCAACTAAGACTAGATCTATACAAACAATTGTGAACAGATTACGACTGCTTGATTTTTCCTTTTCCAATGCCGTTTTCTCTATGAGCCTACAATACAAACATCGTCTATCTACTTGTGATCATCCACAGCAGAAATACGTACGGCATCGTGTCATTATTATATTCCAACGCTTCAGTACCAGATACATCTTTCTGTCGTGACATCACTTCTTCTATCCTTTAGTTACAATTTATTCCTATGATAGTTTAAAAGCTCTTTCCCATATGATTATTTGGTTATGTATTCATCTAGAAATCAAGAAAACCGTTCAGTATTTTAAGCCATTTTAAAAATATCCCTTTCCATAAATCCGCAGAAAAGCGAATTTTACTAAACTTTTGCTAAAATAGTAAAGTTAATAAAAAGATTTTGGTAGTTTTATAAAGCTGTCTTTTTAACTTTTACTAACTGTTATCCATTAAAAGATACAGTTCAGAAAACTCTTCTCAGAATGACGTTTGATACAAAACGATAAAGAGATGCGGTTTTCGCCAGTTTATAAGAAGACACTGGGAGAAATATATTGGTAAAAAGAGCGCGTCCAAATCTTGTCTGCAGGTGGTGTATCTGATGGGTCTTTCGTAGAGGACGCTGCCCTTTCTTAGGTTTCCATATCAACCTATAGTTCAAAATATGGAGACATACACTGACATCTATGCTCCACATCCACACAAGTGCGAGACCTCCGTCTATCATCAATCGGACAAGACAGAATTTCTCTGAAGGCACTCCTGTCAGGCGACTCCGATGTCTGGTAATCTCAAAAGTGGATTGAGCATAGCGGCTTGTCCAAGCGTGATGCTGTGACATTTTTGACACACTAACTTGAGCTTTTCAAAAAGTGTGAAAGTTAGAAACTTCGTTCTTGCGCCATTCGACGCAGCTCGTCATACTCAACTTTTGTATGAAAATGAAGGTATGTGGTTAAAGAATTGAGTTTTTATTACCGTTTTTCGGCGCGTGACGCTGTGACAAAAAAGGCCCTAAATTCGACGATCTTCTGATCAAAAGCTAATTTGCTGCGAAATTAGAAGTGCTAATAAAAGCACCTCGAGCAAAGTTTGTAGAGAAGTAAACGAGCTACTGATTGCTAAAAAAGAATCTATCCAATGAGCTTTTCATTCCTCAGTAACTGTGTTTTATCGTCGTGACGCTGTGACACTCGTTTTTCACCAACAAAGTTTGGAGCACTAAACATTGCTCAAAGGATTTCATTTCCACATCGGACTTAGTTTTACGCTTCTAATATACACTAACGTGAAAATAAAGCTGAAAAAATGTTTTCACTTTCTTGGAATTGTGTGAGAATCTTAAAACTTAAAACTTTAATAAAAAGCTTGTTTTGAATCTAAACTTCAAAAGAAACATACCATCTTGTAGAGAGTTGAATTCTCTATCGATTAGTGTGGCCTTCCATTTTTATTAGGAAAGTGTCTCGGTGAGGAAATTGAAAATACAGTTTTCAAAAAATGTAAAACTGGATTTCTGGTACCAAAATTTAACTTTTTTAAAAAAATAATGTGGGATTCGTAATCAGCGCCAAAAACTGCATCTAGTGATATGCTCCTGATTCCAAAATAATTTTTTCAAAATCTTGATCAGCGAAGTCCCGAGTTACGTGGACAAGCCGATAGGTTTTTGACTATTCTAAATATCAGGGCAATCTTTATTTTTAGAATAGTCTTCAAAAACGTACTGGAAATTTATACCATGTGAAATAATGCATTTTCACTATTTTCACCCAAAATTAAAAAGTTCATACTTCACCCGAAATCGATCCAGAGTACTTAAATATCATGATAACCTTTATTTTATCTGCACTACACCCTGGTGTTCACTAAAACGTTTAAAAACCAATTGTAAATACTTTAGTTTTTGGAAGGTTTTTTAGAAATGTTTCCAAGTAAAGAAATATTCTTTACCAATCTTAACTACAGACCAGGTTGAAAAGATAAAATAGAGGATATCTTGATATTCTGAAGTACTCTGGATCGATTTTGGATGAATTATGAATTTTTTAATTTTCGGTGGAAATAGTGAAATGCAGTATTTCACATAATTAAAGTTTCCACTGGGTTCTTGAAGACTTTTCTAAAAAGAAAGATTGCTCTAAGATTGAAGCATAGATGTCAGTGTATGTCTCCATATTTCGAACTATAGGTTGGTATGAAAACCTAAGAAAGGGCAGCGTCCTCTACGAAAGACCCATCAGATACACCACCTGCAGACAAGATTTGGACGCGCTCTTTTTACCAATATATTTCTCCCAGTGTCTTCTTATAAACTGACGAAAATCGCATCTCTTTATCGTTTTGTATCAAACGTCATTCTGAGAAGAGTTTTCTGAACTGTATCTTTTAGTGAATAGATAATAGATGGTCTGACATGTTTACTGAACTCAAAAGTGGTTTGACCTAATGACATCTCCAAAGCATATTAGCTCTGATAAACCCTCAATGGAACCCTACAAAAATCCGGTTTATTATTTTTCAACCCATGAGTCATACACCCACACGAATAGGACTACAGTTCTAATAGTAATGAAAACTGTGGGCAAAATTGCAGAGTATGATCCTAATTCTAGTATAACGAGCAAAGATAAGTATGAACAGTCAGTTTTCTCTGGTTCTGTACATTTGTAGGAAAAGTCATCCATCTGACATGTGTTTTTAGCGTCTGATTAAAGCCCTCTTTTCTAGGTAAATCTTCTAAGTTTTCGATCAAAAGTACCGTAAATTCGATCTAATTGTTACCGTAAATTAAAGCATACCTCGGATTTGTTAACGGTGATGATGCATGTCTATGTATTTGTCTTGTCTTTAATATGATTAGATGAAGGTTTAGGCTTCTAGCCATAGTAATATGAGTAGAACAAGAAATACTACTTTGAGTACTTTTGTTTAGTTACACCTCACTGAGAATCGCTCCTTACTGAATGCTACTATCATTTTGTTTCTCCTTTTGTTTGTTACTCCGTTTTCCTTCAGTGGATTTTCGCGCATGTTAGGTCATGAATACTTGTACTGTATACTTACGCTGTAAATTAGTTACTTTTTTGATTTTAATTCTGCTTTTAAAAAGCAGATATAAACTGCAGAAAGGTTTCAATATAAAATTGTTCTTCAGATCACTTTAAGAAATAAGTGGCTTGTATAACAGACACTGTTTTCGCCTCCATTAATATGTGAAGAAAACCGCAGATATCTTCAGTCACACACGTGTCAATAAGTTATATACAGAAAATAACGTGAATAAGAAAACAAAACAGAAAAGATAAAGGAAAAGAAAATCACTATTTTTCGCAGCTCTAATACAGGTGTATTTGTGTATATTTCACACGCAGAAATATTCTCTGAAAGTTCAAGCGTGGATGTTTTCTTCACATGCGGCAAACATGAACGTAATTCCCATGTAGAGTGGAAAAGAATTAGAGAAGGGAAACGTTTTTATAAATAGAACTGCTGTATACTCTTTTAACCGCGAAGCGAGCCGGAGGTGAATGATCGACCTTGACTGCATTATGTTCCTAAAGAGAAAACTAGGTAAACCATGGTGAAATCAGTCTCTTCTCTACCTTCAGAAATATTTCTTCCTGCAATCATTTCTGTTTTTTATATTTTCGTTTTTTCATAAAATATACCTCGATTTTCTTCCGTGAACGTGTCGAGATCGCCTGAGAGAAAGAGTTTAGCCCATTTGTGTATAGTATTTGGACCACCCCACACTTTGGTCATAAGAGTGGTGAACTTTCGTAACCAACTTTGTAACATACCTACATACTTTCGTCACACCGCATCGTGAACATTCGTCGCAACCCAAAAAGAGCAGCAGTGTCCGAGTTCCATCTATTCCGGAATTTTACTTCATTAGAACGCAATCTCAGTCTGAACTTTATTTCCCACAAGAAATTCACGCATTCACACGGGACGTTTACCCA